GACAAACGCAGAGCACCCGCCCCTGTGCCCTGAGCTCTCTCTGGGGCCCCTGTGAAGGCGTGCACTAGGGCACACTCCTTGTGCTATCACATCCTTCTCTTCCCATGCTGCTCCTTCCTGACCTGGTACTCCAGGGTCACTCCTGGCGATGCTTGGTGGACTCTGCTATGCCAGGGGTCAAGCTCAGGCCTCCTGCAGGCAAAAGCCGTGCTCTATGGGACTACGGCATAGAGAAAGGACCACTATCACAACGATGGTTTGAAGGAACGGCTCTAGGTGGACATTGCATGCTGAAAATGGGTAAAGGACCAAACGTGATGGCCTCTCAGTACTTGTATTGCAAACCATAACTCCCAAAAATAGAGCGGAAAGAGAGAGAGAGAGAGAGAGAGAGAGAGAGAGAGAGAGAGAGAGAGAGAGAGAGAGAAGGAAAGTGCCAGCCTCTGGGCTGGGAGTAGGGTGGGGATGTGGGGGACGGGAAGGAAACTGGGGACATTGGTGGTAGGAAATGAACACTGGTGGAGGGGTGGGTGCTAGAACATTGTATGACTGAAACAAAAAAAAAGTTATATAGGTTCCCCCTCCCTTAAAAAAAAATCCAGCAACAGCCACCACCAAAAAAATAGCTCTAGGGGGCTGGAACGATAGCACAGCGGGTAGGGCATTTCCCTTGCACGCAGCCAACATGGCCAACCCTGGTTCGATTCCCAGCATCCCATATGGTCCCCCGAGCACCGCCAGAAGTAACCCCTGAACATCGCCGGGTGTGACCACAAAAGAAAAAAAAATAGGAGCTCTAGCAGTTGGATACTCTCTCCCAGGACCTGCACTGTAAAACCTGTGGGTTCTGACAGATGTAAAGTCCTACTGGTATTATTATAGCATCACAGGAAATGCTTCACTGCACCCCAACTCCATGTGGCATCAACTCAGCCTTGCCTGCGTCCTCTCCTCCCCTCAACCTCTGGCACTGCTGTTTTTCCCTTCTCTAAACCTTTGTCTATTCAGGATCTCACTTACAAGTGACACTGCATGGTCAGAGGCTGTTTCAGGTTTTCTTTTTACTGGGCAACATGCATCACTAGGTGTGACCCCAAAAGCAACAAAACAAACAAACAAACAAAAAACAAAGAAAATTTCCTTTTCTTTTAACTGCTCGGTAATGATACAATACAATGAATACAGATTATGTTAGAGAACATAGCTAGTATTTGTAAAGTGCTTTAAACTATGCCCGACACAGTTTTTAGTTCTCTATCCCCTACCTCTTCCCTGTACCTGACAAGAGCAGACCCCCCGGCTCCAGGCCACTCCCCAGCCCTGCCAAGGATCTCCTCCCCTCCTGGAACCTAGATCAGGGGTTTCTGGGGCTGTGTGGTTCATCTCCTGTGATTGGCACCTGTCTCTCCCTAACCCCCAGACCCCTAACTCCTGGGTTTCCCAGGGCCTGCCCTGCACTGCAGGAGTTCCTGAGCCTCTCTGGCCCAGCTGCTGATCTTTCTCCCAGTGACTCAGCTAAGACACCCTCCCCAGAAGGGCCACAGAGCGGTCCAACTTTCAGCTCAGCTCCGTTTCTGTCATCTGGTCTCTGACAGAGTCACCATCTTCCCTCTTCCCTCCAAGGGCTCCTCGGGACCAAAGATGAGGACCAAAGACACCCCTGAGCCCTGAGGACACACAAGGTTGATCCTACAACAAGGGGAGGGATAAAGAACATGTTCTGTGTGTTTGAGGGCCCCTGATGACAGGGGGGACAGAGCATAAATACCCACGAGGGAGTGGGGTACTGCCTAGATTTTTGTGGGGTCAGAACTGGCCCCTCCTGGAGACCTGGACCCCAAATGTGTTCCTTAGGCCACTCACAGCACCCCACTTCTTTCCCCTTACGAATGCTGCCTAGGGGCTGGGGAGGGCTCAAAGAACCCAACACCTGCTTTGTGTGCAGGGGGCCAGGTTCCAGCTCTGGCACTGATGATCCTCAGAGCACTAAACCCAGAGTAGCTGCCCAGTGCTACTGGCTGTGGTCCCCAAACCAAGGAACGTCAACAAGGTTGCCGCTGAGAACCCCAGGGTGCAAGAAGCTCCCCTCCTCTGCCAAGAGACTCTCCTAGGTGTGTAAAACGCCCCCATTTGCAGGAAGGACAGAGCAGGGGAGCTCAGAAGGGAGTGGGGGTTGGAACTGGGGGAGCTCAGGGAGGAGGGAGGGTGGGGCTGGAGCTCCCCTTGGGCTGCATACTTGCAGGCACCTCTGCCTCTGCTCATCATGCACCTCCATCTGTCCATGCTACCTACTGGAAAGCCAAGCTCACTCCTTCATGCTGGTGGGATGGACAAGGAAAGAGTCTGGTGGCGAGCTCAGGGGTTCAAGAATACAGGGGATCCCCTGGGGCTGGGGGAGTGAGGGTAATGGGAGGGGACCCTGGGGACTCCTCTCTCTCAGCTCAGCTCTCCTAAGACTTCTCTCTTCTTTCTCTCTCTCTCTCTCTCTCTCTCTCTCTCTCTCTCTCTCCCCCCCCCCCCTTTGGTTTTTGGGCCACACCCAGCAAAGCTTAGGGCTCACTCCTGGCTCTGTGCTCAGGAATCACTCCTGGCAGGTCTCAGGGGACCATACGCAGTGCCAGAGATCAAACCCTGGTCAGCATATGCAAGGCAAGTGCCTTACCCACAGTACTAGTCCCTAGCCCCTTTTAATGGGGGCTGGTGGGGGGGTGCCCAGGGACACCCTGGGGTACTGGGGATCAAACCTGGCACTTCCCCAAGCAAAGCATTCGCTCCACCCTTTCAGCGTCTCTGTGACCCCCTCAAACAAATCTGTAGAACCAGAGTGTAAGTCAGTAAGATTGCATAGTGACCCCCTAAATACATGGTGCCCACCCAGGCCCTCCTGCAGAGCCCCCCAAAATGGTTTTATGGACTCCTCCCTCATCTTTGCAGCTCAATGGATAAAAGTGCAGGATTCCTGACAACAGCAGGGAGCCTGGTGGCGAAGGGAGGCTTCCTTTTGTGCTGCCCTAAGTGGGGGAGGCAGCTGTGCTGGGGACTTGCAGCCTGGAGGGCCCCTCCAGCGACAGCATGTGTCCCTTCCAAGGCGGTGCAGCACATAGAACAACGGGGAGGGCACTTGCCTTGCTCATAGCTGACCTGAGTTCCATCTGGGCACCCCATAGGGTTCTCTGAGCTTACCAGGAGGGACCCCTGAGTGTGAGCCAGTAGTGAGCTCTGCGCATTCCGAGGCATGGCCCACAAAATCAAGGCTGGTGGGAATGGAGAGCAAGGAGCTGTCACCCGACAGGGTCCCTCCTAGTCTTTTTTTTTTTTTTCAGCAACAAAGCTCATTTATTGGGTCAAAAATACTGCAAGGAAAAAGCAGGAATATCCAGGTAGCTTTCTTTTACACTTTCAAATCTACTAAAAAGGATACAGAAACCCTAGACAATACACAGACACTCATGAAGTTGGCAATGTTTCCAATAAATTGTAATAAGTATATATGGAATGAGGAAATTTTGGGAAGTAGCTTTTCCCATCGGCTTCAATGTACACTGCACCCTAAAAGTGTTACAGCCTCCCTATGGTTCATAGTCATATGCCATACTTTGGCTGCACTGATTTGACATCTTTCTTCCCAACCCCAGAAAAAAGGGGGAGATGGGAAAGCTGGCTATGTGGGGTGGGGCGTCCGTCGTGTCACTGCAGCAAGAAGGGGTCCCTGCTTTGCAGTGGTGCACGGGCACAGGAACTTGGGGTGCCTGCAGGGATTTGGGGGGCGCTGAAGGTGTCTACAGCAATGAAGGGGCACTCTGCGGAGGAGAGGAGCTGGCTTCTGGGCTCAGGGTTCGGGAAAGGGCGCTGGGGCTCGCTGCAGTCCTCCGGCCGGTCGCATGGCAGGGCTGGGAGGGGCGCCGGGCACCGTGACGCCGCGCTAGCGGGGTGGGGGGAGAGGTCCCGCACGGCGGGGGGCTGCAGACGCCGCGGCTCTGTCGCACTAACCCGACGCCTCACTCGCAGGAGGACGGGAAGGGTGGGGCCTCGGGGCCGCCGTCCCGCACTGCGGAGCGCAGCACCGAAGCAGCCGGTGGCGCGGGCAGCAGCGGCGGGCGGAGCCGGGGCGGGTCCCGGGGGAGGTGTGTGTGTGTGTGGGGGGCGGCCTCCGGCAAGGGGCGGACCCGCGCCGCAAGGCCGACGCCCCTGGACCACTCCGAGCCGCCGCGGCGCCAAGCCGGAGCCAGAGCGACCCGCGGCGCCCGCAACCCGCTTGCAGCCTGACCCCGGCGTGGCGACTCCGGCTCCGCAGAGGGCGCGACGGTGAGGCCGGGGCTGTGCGCAGAGGATGGGGGGCCATCGCCCGAACCGCAGCCTCCCTTGGCATCGCTGCAGCCGCCCCCACTCCCAGATCAGCCTGGCCACTGGGGCGTGGGGGTACCCAGGAGGGTCTTTCCGAGGTGGAGGGCGGGAGACTACTTCTCTCTCTCTCTCCTCCATCCCATTTCATCGCACCGGCACCCTTCCCCGTCACCCCCAGGGACTAGGCGGCTGAGGAGGCTGCAGCCCTCGGCCCGCACCCCTGCTGCCCCGGGCTGGGTCGGTGGTCCCCAGGAAGATGCTGGCCCTTTCTTCCCTTTTTCGGCGGCGCTCAGGGCTTACTTCTGGCTCTGCGCTCAGGGCCCACTCCGGGAGGGCTCGGGCGTGGGGAGACCTTCTGGGGAGGGGCGGGGGGTCGAACCCGGGTCCCTGCCTGCTGTTGCATCTCTCAGGCCCCGAGGAGGCTGGCCCTTTAAGCCCGGGCTCCCCACCCCAGCATCCTTCATCGCAGCTTCCGACAGCTGGCAGCCGCGGGGAGCCCCGGGGGGCCGGCAGGTAGGAGGCGGCGGGGGGGGGGGGGTGCCCGGAGGCGGGTATCCGAACAGCTGTGACCCCCACCCCCACCCCCGATCCCCCCAGCAGAGGAGCCGGCGGCGGCGGGACGGGACGGGACGGGCACCCCCCGCAGCGATTAATCATTAACACCCTCCCCAGCCCCCCCCCCCGGGTGCCCGCGCCGCTCGGAGCTTCCGCAGCCTCCGTCCCCGCTTCCCAGGTAACCGGCCCCCCCCCTCCCATCCCCGCCACCTGTCGCCCCCTCCTCCACCTGGCGCCCCCTGCAGGTGAACGTCGGGGTGCGGCGTTGCCTGCTTCCCGCTGGAGGGTGGGGTGCCCCGGGGAGCCTGTCTCCGAGCCCCCGGCCGCGCCCCCTCCGTTCACGGAGCGCCCCCCGCTCCCGCAGGGGCACCATGCCCGGCCTGTACTGCCCCTCCAGCTGGACGCCGCTGCCGCTCACCGACTCGTGGGTCCGAGCTCGCGCCAACGGCCCCTGCCTCAGCCTGCGCGCGCGGCTCACCTACCGCAACCCGCAGCCGCAGCCGGTGGACGGTGAGAGCCGCGGGCGTACGCGGGGACCGGGCGGGCGGGCGTGGGCCGGGGGTGAGGGCGCCAGTGACCCCCCCGGTCCTGTCCCAGGGGTCTTCGTGTACCCGCTGGCCGAGGCCGAAGTGGTGTCTGGCTTCGAGGCGGAGGCTGCGGGCCGGCGCGTGTCCTTCCAGCTGCAGAGCCGGCGCCGATGGCAAGCCGCCTGCTGCCGCGCCCTGGGCCCCAGCGCGGGGGCCCCCACGCCCCGCCGCTGCGCGCAGGGTGAGTCCCCCGCACCCCGCGCCCCCTCGCGCCCTCCCCGAAGCCCGCCGCGCTCGGCTCCCGCACCTGCTCTGGCCGCCCCGCCCCGCTGATTTTATTTTTCCTTCTCCTCATTCATTCATGGATTCATCACTCTTCAGCAGTCGGGGACCGGCCACCTGCTGTGCGCCGGCTGCCGGGGCCGTGTTACCCTGCCCTGAGGTTTGCAGCCGCCAGGACGCTCAGCGGGCAGTCCACCTGCATGTCTGTCCCCTGCAGTCCCACAGACAGCCAGGGGCATTGATCATAGGACCCCCAGCATCTGGCCCAAGAAGGGCCCTGGGAAACAGGGAGAGGAAACCAGTCCTAGTCCTTGTGGCTTGAACTTCATTCTCTGGTTTCTTTATTTGCACATTCGTTTGACTTCCTGGGCATGGAAGTGCCCATTCAGTCAGGAGAGTGACAGACTCTCCTGGGGCTGAGACTTGGCATAAGCCTGACAGGCCGTGTAGACAAGAGGCCGGTGTGCGCTAGGAGCGTTCCTGAAGGCAGTGAAAGCCACTTCTGATGAAAAGGAGAAGGATCTGTTGAAGTGGGGAGAAGGGGACTTGAGTAGGAGCAACGGTGTGAGCAAAAGTTTGGAAGTAAGTTCCATTGGGCGGGGGTGATACAATGCTTCCTACTCAGTGATGTTGCAGGTGACAAAGCCCAGTCACTGTGTCACCTCACTGCATCCAGAGAAGCATGTCGTGTAAGTGTTCTCCTCCCCACTCCCTTCCTTTTTTCGGAGGTGTGTGGGTGCCCACACCTGGTGGCACTCAGGGTTTAGTCTTGGCTCTGAGCTCAGGGATCACTCCTGGTGGGGCTCAGGGGACCATGTGGCGTGGCGGGGTTAGAACCCACATGGGTTCCCTGCAAACCAAGTCCCCTCCCCGCTGTCCTATCACTCCAGTCCCTCCTGTCTTCTTTCACAGGTGATGGGATTAACAGCAACAGTGTCTTGTGCACTGGAGGCTTTGCCTGATCCCGATGCAAGACTCACCACATACCCTGTGGCACACGTGCAGTTGTTTTGACACACACATTACTGCCATCAGGTCTTTCTCAAAGGAATAGATGCCTGAGCCTTGAGGGCAAAGGAGGACAAGCAGGGCTGGACCAGACCACACCGGGGATGGGGGTGGGGGGCTTGATCACCTCCGCACGTACCCGCTCCTTTCCGCTCTGATCGTGGCGATCCCCCTGGCCCCACTGTTCCCCAAACTCTGATCTGAGTGAGGTGCTTCGGGTACTAGTGCTGCCTTATCTCCTCTAGTCTGTTTCTAAGAAGGTGCTTGAGCCTAAGCTCTGCTTGGTGGAAAATTCTAGAAGCACTCTGAATGGGCCATGGGGAGCCCCTGAGTACTGATGAAGCAGAGGACTCAGGAGCAGGGTGGGCCCCAGGCTATAGGAGAGGGCACTGCACAGGGAAGAGGATGTGCAAGGTGGGCAGTGCCAGCAGAAGGGGGCATGGTGCCCAGGGGATCTTGGACAGGAACGCCACCAGCCCCTCTCCTTGGCCTCCAGAAGGAGAGATATCCCTACTGCCTTTTTCCCCATTCCTGGGGATATCCTTTTTTTTTTCTTTTTGGGTCACACCCGGTGATACACAGGGGTTACTCCTGGCTCATGTGCTCGGGGGACCATATGGGATGCTGGGAATCAAACCCGGGTCAGCCGCGTGCAAGGCAAATGCCCAACCTGCTGTGCTATCACTCCAGCCCCCAACGATCCCTTTTTTGAGGAGGGAAGCACTCCTGGCAATGCTCAAGGCTGACTCCTGGCTCTACGCTCAGGGCTTGCTCCCGGTGGGGTTTGGGGGGCTAAATGGGATGCTGGGTCCGAGCACGAGTCAACCGCGTGCAAGGCAAGCACCCCATCTGCTGCACCAACATCCAGCCCACCCTGTCACTCAGCTCATGCTCCATCCGACGTCACCAACACGTTAGCCCGGCACCTTTCCCGTCTCCCAGAGGCCCTGGCTCGGCCCCCTGCCCACTGCCCGCTTGGCTCCCCGCCCCACCCGCATCTCTGCTTGCAGCCACCCTGACCCGGCTCCTTACGCCTCACAGGTCACCTTGTCCTGGACCTGGTGCAGGCCCAGTCGGCACTCGTGCTGCCCACGGGCCTCATCGGCGCGGCCAGCACCATGACGGTGACCCTGCAGAGCAGCCGGGAGCTCCCCTCCAGACCTGACGGGGTACTGCACGTGGCTCTGCCTTCTGTGCTCACCCCGCTGGTCCCGCCAGGCGCGCCGGGGCCCCCCAGGCCCCCGGGGCTCTGTGACGACAGGTTGGGCCTATGGTGATTCTCTTCGTCCCTCCCTCGTCTTCTCTGGGTCTAGTGCGGGTGAGGGGGCTTGGGCAGGGCCCCTCTGGGGATAGGCGGGGTGGGCAGGGGCAGGGGCTGGCCAACCAGAGGGGCTCCTGGCTTTGGGTTTTTGCTTTTTGGGTTCGGGGGCCACTCCCAGCGGTGTTCTGTGGTCACTCCTGTCTCAGACTCAGGGATCACTCCTGGTGGTGCTCAAGGGACCACATGTGATGCCAGGGATTGAACCCGGTCAGCCACATGCAAGGCAAATGCCCTGCCCACTGTACTATCACTCCGACCCCAGGCTCTGAGCTTTGCGAGGTGACTCTCCTTCTGCTCACTTTCAGCCCGACCAGCTGCTTCGGGGTGGGGACGCCCCAGGAGGAAGGACCGGCCTGGGAGGAGCAGGCTGCCCCTCCAGATGTGTTCTCAGGCCCTGCCCGCTGCCCTGCCCCCTACACCTTCTCCTTCGAGATGCTGGTGACCGGGCCATGCCTGCTGGCAGGTGCGAGCCCTCCCCGGGGAGCTGGGTAGGACCTCAAAGCCTGGGGCTGTCACAGGACTAAAGGGAGACAGGCACCTTAGGGCTGTCCAGGTTCCTCGTGGGAGGATGCCCCAGCCGCCTCTAGCCTTGCACACCTCAGGGTCTTTGATTACTGTCCCATTCCGTGGGGACAGAGAGGTAACAGTCTGACATCCCCCCACCCCACCCCAGTGCGGGAGGTGGCGATGGAACTCAGTGGCCGGTGGGCAGTGGCTGACGTGGACGCCCAGAGTCCACAAACTGGCTCAAGCCCACCTCCCGTGTGTCCCACAGGCCTGGAGAGCCCCTCACATGCCCTGCGTGCTGACGCGCCCCCTCACGCCAGCTCGGCAGCCACCATCTGTGTCACGCTGGCGGAGGGCCACCGCTGTGACCGGGCTGTGGAGATCCTGCTCTACCCCAGTGGTGAGAGGTGGGGGCTCGCGGGGGGCTCCCTCAGCAGCTCAGGATGACACTGGACCTCTGGCCCCGGATGGAGTTGTGTGCCCGGGTGTGGGGCCTCAGTCTGCAGGGTCCCCCCTTCGCCGGCCATCCCCCTGCCCTGGGCACTTGGGGCCCAGAGACGAGGGCTGTGTCCCCTCCTGCCCAGAGCCCCACCAGCCCCACCTGATGCTGGAGGCCGGCAGCCTGAGTGCGGCTGAGTATGAGACCTGGGTCAGGGCCCGCCGGGACTTCCAGAGGCTCCAGCGAAGGGACAGCGATGGGGAGCGGCAGGTATGTCTGCCCGGCGGCCTGAGGGGCAGGCAGGCCCAGATGTGGACAGGGTGGGTGGCAGGATTCCCACCCTCAGGAGGCCTCGGGAGCTGCCAGCATCACCCCAGAGGCTGAGGCTTGTCACGAAGGGCTGGTCTGGTCTAGCCTGGCCACAGCCACTTGCCTCTGCCCTGATTTATTCAAATGAGTGTGGAGAGGGTCCCCGAGAGCCAGGAGAGGGCAAGGGGCTTCCCTCGCACATGGCTGGTCCAGGTCCGAGTCCCGGCACTGCGTACGGTCCCTGGTACCACCAGGAGTGGCCTCTGAGCACAGGGGGAGGAGTAAGCCCGGGACACCGCTGGGTGTGGCCCCCAAACTCAAACCCAAAGCCCCCAGTGACTCGGTGTGCTGGGCGTGGATCTGGGTGGGGGGGAGTAAACACGCAGTGGTTTTGCACAGGTGTGGTTCCTGCAGCGCCGTTTCCACAAGGACATCCTGCGGAACCCCGTGCTGCTGCTGAGCTTCTGTCCCGACCTGAGTGCCCGGCCTGGCCACCTGGGCATGGCCACCCGGGAGCTCCTCTTCCTGCTGGACAGCAGCGCTGTAGCACACAAGGCCTGTGGGCACGGGGTGGGCCGGCGGGGGCCAGTACATCTGAGGTGGGCTGGGCAGCAGCCGTCCTAACACACACACACACACACACACACACACACACACACATTTCTTTTGTGTATTCAGACATGCCTGCACCTCTAGGAATCCTCCCGAACACACAACTCACACACACATATTTACAAACACACTTGGAAACAGACATACACACAAACACACTCGCACACATATTCACAACACTCAAACACAGACTTACACACACAGACTTACAAAAACACACATTTATAAACACACAAACACACATGTACAGTCACACAAACATACATGCACCCATACACATACACGTGCACATATGCACACACCTGCTTCTCTTTGTGTACTCACACATGCCTTCACCTCCAGGAATCCTCCCAAACACACAACTTACACCCATACAAACACACACATCCACTCACACACAAACGCACACACTCGCAAACACGCAGGCACATTCACACACACATAGACACGTAGCCACAACTATACACACACGCACACACCCCTGCCTCTTCTCACTTGCACACGTGCCCGCACCTCCCGCAGTTCTCACACACAAACACACACACACACACGCGCGCGTGCCTCTCTCACGTGCCTGCCCTCGGCCTCCCACAGGACGCCATCGTTCTGGCTATCAAGTCCCTCCCGCCCCAGACCCTTGTCAACCTGGCACTGTGTGGCGTGTCCGTGCAGCCAGTCTTCCCGGAGAGCAGGCCCTGCAGTGACGTGAGTGTGGCCGGGGTAGCTGGGGCATCTGGGTGTGGCGCCCAGATCTCTGGCCCAGGACAGCCAGCCCCTCTGCCTCCCCCCAGGACACTATGCGGCTCCTCTGCGAGCATGTGGACACGCTGCAGTTGGCCGGCGGCCCCCTGGATGTGCTGGCTGCCTTGGACTGGGCCCTGGGGCAGCCTCAGCACCGGGCACACCCGCGGCAACTGTTCCTGCTTGCCGCCGCCTCGCCCACGGCCACCGTCACCCAGCGAGTGCTCGGGCTCATGAGGGGACACCGGGGGACCGCCAGGTATGGGGTGAGCAGAGCCGGGGGCCTGAGGGGGCGGCCCCGAGTGGGCCCTGCGGCTGCCACTTGCTTCTTTCTTCCACCAGGTGCTTCGCCTTTGGGCTGGGGTCGTGCTGCCGCCAGCTTCTGCGGGGTCTGGCCACCCTCAGCCGGGGTCAGGCCTTCTTCCTGAGGCCTGGGGACAGGCTGCAGCCCCTGGTGAGCCGGGGGTCAGGGGAAATCTGAGTCGGCCCCCCACCGAGGTCTCCTCCAAATTCCAACCCCAACCTTCCCTCGATGCCCCTCAGGGAGGCTGCCGCGAGTCCCCCAGGGGGCCCGGGGCCTGGCCTCTGACTGTTGTCTGGTCCCACGACCTCTGTCCAGCTCCTTCCCTGATGGAGTGGCCCCCTGCCACCTGGTCCTTCCCCATCCCCAGCCCTGAGTGGCCGCCTGGCACCTCCTCTCCCGTGCTCTCCCTCTGGCCGCCTCACAGCTGGTGCAGGCCCTGCGGAAGGCCCTGGAGCCGGCCCTGAGCGACATCTCCGTGGACTGGTTTGTGCCCGATGCCGTGGAGGCCCTGCTGACGCCCCGGGAGATTCCCGCACTCTACCCCGGGGACCAGCTGCTCGGCTACTGCTCTCTCGTCAGGGTGGATGGCTTCCGGCCTCACCCCCCAGCGGTAGGCCTGGGCTGGGGGGGGAGGGGGCAGGTGGGCTTGGAGGGCTGGTGCCCGCACAGCTCACTCGCTCGCTTCTTACAGTCCTGTCCCCCGAGACTCCTGATCCCCGCTGGGTCCCCCTGAGTGACTGTAATCTCTGTCCCCTCAGCCGTCCCCCACAGGCCTTCTCCTGAGCTATCCTGTCACAGCTGCCCTGGGCTTGGTCACAGAGCACAGCCTGAGCAGCAGCAGCTGCAGGAGGCTCTTGTTGACATCTGCTCACTATGCCCTATGCGCTATGCAGAGCGGAGCGTCCTCTGAAAAGCACCAGCCAGGTCCGGAGGGACAGTTCAGTGGGGAGGGCACTTGCCTTGCACGTGGCCAACCCGGGTTCGATCCCGTATGGTCTCCTGAACACCGCTAGGAGTGATCTCTGAGGGCACAGCCAGGAGCTCTGAGGGCAGAGCCAGGAGCAACCCTCGAGGACCCCCAGGTGTGGCCCCCAAACCAGTTGGGTCTTTTTTTTTTTTCTTTTTTGGGTCACATCCGGCAATGCACAGAGGTTACTCCTGACTCTGCGCTCAGGATTTACCCCTGGCGGTGCTCAGGGGACCATATGGGATGCTGGGACTCGAACCCGGGTTGGCCGTGTGCAAGGCAAACGCCCTACCTGCTGTGCTATCGCTCCAGCCCCCCAGTTGGGTCTTTTGTGCCCCCTTCAGGGCAGTTGGCAAGGACAGCATCGAGAAAACGCTCAACCCTGCCACCTACTGGCCACTTGACTGGGGGAGGGGGGGTGGGGGGGTGGGGGGGGTGGCGTTTTAGTTTCCCTCCCAGGTCCCGTTTCTTACCGTCACTGCGGCGATATCCGCAGTGGGAGTATGGGAAGTGAGTTTGTAGGGTGGCGCGTGGCTCTCTCTAGAAGATCCATGGGTGCCTCCTCCTTCAGGACTCGGGAGATCTGGGAGGGAGGTGGGTGCCCCTTTGCCAGCTGCCAGGAAGCTCAGCTTCTGGGGCTTGGGGTGCTGTGCGTGGCCTGTGCGTGGGTTCCCTCAGCACTGCTCTCTCCTGCCTGCTCCCTGGCCTCGGTGCCGCATGCAGGGCTCGTGCCCGCGAAAAGCCCCTTCTGTGCCAATGCCACCACTAGCCGCTGTGCTTCCTTCTCTAGGCCCCGGAGCCTGGCTGGCAGAGCCTGGGGGGCTCCGTGTTCCCGTCCCCGGAGGAGGCACCATCTGCCACCAGCCCTGGCACGGAGCCCACTGGCACCTCGGAGGCCCTGGGCACGGGCACTGTGTCGGCAGAGCTGTCCAGCCCGTGGGCCGCTGGGGACTCGGAGCAGAGTGAGTGCCCAGGCCCTGCACGGGGCCGCCGGGGGGGGGGGGGTGGGCCGTGGGGAGCCGGGGCTGAAGTCTCTCCACTCCTGCCGCCCAGCAGGCGCGGAGGCCCTGACGGACCCCGTCTCGGACCCGGGGCCCAACCCCTCCGCAGACACGGCCATCTGGCGCCGCATCTTCCAGTCCTCCTACATCCGGGAGCAGTACGTGCTCACTCACTGCTCCGCCAGCCCCGAGCCGGGCCCCGGCTCCACGGGCAGCAGCGAGTCCCCCCACTCCCAGGGCCCCGGCTCCCCGGAGGGCCCCGCCCCCCCGGACCCACCGTCACAGCAGGGCTGCCGCAGCCTGGCCTGGGGAGACCCTGTGGGCTCCCGCTCCTGCCCACTGCCTCCTCCCCCTCTGACCCCCGTCAAGGTGAGCCCTGGGCAGCTGACAATGGCTCGTTTGGGACTGGGGGCCATGGCAGGCGGTGCGCAGGGCTTACTCCTGGCTCTGCGCTCTCTCCTGGTGGGGGGCTCTGGGGACCCTATAGGGTGCTGGGGATCAAACGTGGGTTGACCAGGCCAGTTTCTTAACCCCTGGACCACCTTCGGCCCATGCTCCTTAACCCTGTCACCACTGGCTTGAGGATTCCTGGCCAACCTGAGTGAAGGGAGGGGGGCCCCATCCCAGCTGCACCCTGCACCACACAGGGCGATAGAAGCCCGAGGGCATGGGGCCAGGGGAGGCTGGTTCAGCGTCTGAGCTTCCAGCCAGGAGAGCCAGAGCCATGGTCGGGCAGGGGGCCCCAGCAGGAACCAGCACCCGCCTGGAGTGGAAAGCGGGGGGCTGGGAGGATGAAGGGGGTGACGCGGAGCTCCGCGTTCCCTGACCAGCAGGCAGGTGCCACCCCTCTATGCAGGCTGGCGCCCTGAGCGCCGAGGTGCTGGGTAGGCGACGCAGAGCCGCCCTGGCGGGCCGCAGCCTCTCATCCCCGCCCGGCCGCCCGAACCCTGCCCCGGGCCGGCCCCGACAGCCTTCTCTGGGGGCCGCACCAGACGAGCCGGGCTCAGAGCCAGCACAGCAGCTGGGCCAGGGCCTGGATGACTCAGGTAAGGGTGGGACTGGGGAGCTGGGTCTGCAGACGGAGGGGACCCTCGGGAGGCGGGACCTGGCAACCCCTCGTCATCGTCTCTCTGCAGGGAATCTGCTCTCCCCGGCCCCCATGGACTGGGACATGCTGCTGGACCCGCCTTTCTCATTCTCGGCTCTGCCCCCCAGCAGGGAGTCGGCCCCTCCAGCCGTGCCCTCGCCCCCCCAGGCCCCGCGCTGCCACGTGGTGATCCGGGCCCTGTGCGGGGAGCAGCCCATGTGCTGGGAGGTGGGGGTTGGGCTGGAGAGCCTCTGGGGGCCTCCTAATGGGGGCCCCCTGCCCCCAGCAGCCCCTGAAAGAGAAGGTGCTTGGGACCCAGCGCTCCACCGGCTGACAGCGGCCTCTGTGGTCCGGGACAACGAGCAGCTGGCACTCCGCGGAGGGGCAGAGGCCGTGGCCGACAGCGGTGAGTTGCGGGGGGTCTCTGCTCTGCGTTCGATCCCTTGCTTACAACAGCAGGGGGCTTGCACACAAGACAGAAAAAGCAGGCAGGGCATTGGGGGCAAAAGGGGTCCTCACCAGGGGAAGTGGAGAATGAAGTTCTATGAAAGAGGTCTGCTGTGAGGTCAGGCACTCATATATATATATATACATATATATATATATATAGAGAGAGAGAGAGAGAGAGAGAGAGAAGCCCAAGTTGGCAAGCTTCCTGGCAGTCACCTGACGGAACCTTGATTTGGGTGGTGATTGCAGGCCCCTCCACAGAAGAGCCTGCCTTGGGGCTGGAGTGACAGTACAGTGGCTAGGGCGCTCGCTTTGCATGTGGCCCACCCACGTTCAATCCCCGGCATCTGTTACAGCTCCCTGAGCCCACCAGGAATAAGTCCTGAGCATTTCCAGGTGGGCCCTTCCCCACTCCCCCAAATTTTTTTTTGTTTAAGAAGAGCCGATCTTTCAGGCAGGAAGATTATTCCGATTCAATGAAGTGAACACATCAGCTCTCCAGGTGCTAAGGCTGCAGCTCAAGGGTTTTAATAGTCCTATGTGACCAGGGGCTTTGTACAGGCATACAGGATGGGGCAGAAAGAACATTTCACTCTGTAGAAGATTCTGGTGGACAGAGCTGAAACAAGCAGATGAAGAAAAAAAAAAAAACAACAACCAACCCTGAATCAGTGCTTCCCCGGGTGGTACCCCAGGGGTTCCATCCAGGGGGGCAGAGAGCTCAGCCACCTGTCAGTCAGAGCTGGGGAGTCCTGCTGAGCTCCCCTATTCAGAAGCGGGCGGGCGGGGGCTGGAGAGTCCCAATGGGCCCAGTGCACGCCTGGCATGTGGAAAACCAGGGTCTGGCCCCCTGCACTGCACTACATGCCCCTTTCATGCTGAACAATAGCACAGCGGGTAGGGCGTTCGCCTTACATGCGGCCAACATGGCCGACCCGAGTTCAATTCCTCCGCCCCTCTCGGAGAGCCCGGCAAGCTACCGAGAGTATTCGATATGCCAGACACAGTAACAACAAAGTCTCCAATGGAGACGTTACTGGGCCCGCTCGAGCAAATCGACGATCAACGGGAGGGCCTTTACCTTTACCTTTACCTTTACCATTGAAATGAACCCCACACCACACCCCCAAGGACAGAGCCGGGCTTTAGCTGCTGAGCAGAGCCAGGTGTAGCTAAGAAAACAAGCTGCCCCAGGAGGTGACTCATTGATAGGACACACGTATCTCTCACTTTTGGGTTTTTTCTTTCTTTTTGGGTCACACCCGGCAATGCACAGGGTTACTCCTGGCTTTGTACCCAGGAATTACTCCTGGCGGTGCTCAGGGGACCATATGGGATGCTGGAATTGAACCCGGGTCACCCGAGTGCAAGGCAAACGCCCTACCCGCCCTGCTATCGCTCCAGCCCCTTTTGGATTTTTGGGCCACAGCCAGCATGAGTAAGCTCGGGGCCGCCTCCTGGCTGTGCACTCAGGAATCAGTCCTGGTGGGCTCAGAGGATCATATGGGATGACAGGGATGGAGCCCGGTGCAAGCCATGTGCAAGCCAAGCATCCTATGCGCTGTATTATCAACATCTTCCATGTGTGAGGCCTGGATTCCATCCCTGACTGTCCCCCCAAGCCAACAAGAGTCTAGAGAGAAGTGGCCAGGGGTCCTCAGATCCTTCCAGAAAGCCCTCACTGTCCCTGCAAGCACTCCACCCACTCAGCACTGCTGCCTCTCCGTGCTGCAGGCCCTGCCCGGAGGTCCTGGCTGCGGGCCGTGCAGACCAGCAAGGCCAGCTCTGCCCCTTCTTGCTTCACCTGCCCGGTGGCCGTGGACGCCACCACCCGGGAGGTGCTGTCCTCGGGCCTGCAGGTGCGCAGTGCAGGTAGGGACCCCCGCCCAAGGCCTCCGGGGGCAGGGGGACTCACCGGCCAAGCTCCGGGACAAACTCACTCCTGCTTCCTGCACCCCTGCAGAGCCCATGGAACCCCCGGGCAGCCCTCTGACCTCTCAGGGCCGTCTGTCCACGGCTGTCTACTCCCAAGGTACCGCACCTAAATCTGTGGTCGCCAGGGGGGCCGCAAGCTTGGAGACGGGAGACCGCCACCGCCCGGGGTTCTCTGGCAGGTGGCCCGGACCCGAAGCACAACGGCAGCCCCAAGACTGAGTGGGGGGCCCCCGTGGGCCCCCCGCCCCCGTCGCGGCCCCTCCCGGGCTTGCGCAAGGCGCGCGGCGCGGCGGGCCCGGACTGCCGCGAGCACGACTACCTGGCGCTGGTGAGGACTCGGGAGGTGGAGGGAGGCGCGGCCCGGCGCGGCCCGGCTCAGCGGCTGGTCCCCCCACCTCCTCTCTCCTCAGGTGCGGCTGCAGGAGGCGGCCGGCTCCTTCCGCCTGGACGCGCCTTTCTGCGCCGCCGTGTCCATCCCGCGGGAGCGCCTGGGCCGCGCCTCGCCCTTCGCCGCGCACCGCGCCAGCCTCAGCCCTGCGTCGGCCTCGTCCCCCTGGGCCCTGCTGGGCCCCGGCACGGGCCGGGGCGACGGCACCACGGCCTCGTGCAGCCCGTCCGCCAGCTCGGGCTCCGAGGGGCCGGGCCAGGCGGACAGCGGGCGCGGCTCCGACACGGAGGCCTCGGACGGGGCAGAAGGGCTGGAGGGCAGCGATCTGCGGGGCCGCAGCTGGGCCACCGCGGTGGCCCTGGCCTGGCTGGAGCACCGCTGTGCGGCCGCCTTTGGCGAGTGGGAGCTGGCAGCGGCCAAGGCGGACGGCTGGCTGCGGGCCCAGCGCCTGCCCGACGGCCTGGATCTCGCAGCCCTAAAGGCCGCCGCCCGGGGTCTGTTCCTGCTGCTGCGCCACTGGGACCAGAACCTGCAGCTGCACCTGCTGTGCTACAGCCCAGCCAACGTGTGAGGGGACGCCCATAACCCAGTCACTGCCGCCCAGGGCCGCCAACGAGGCTGGGAAGGGCCACGGCTCCTCACTCCCTCCCGGTGTCCCCGGCTGCCACAGAAAGTGCCTGCCAGTGCTCTCCAGCTCGCCCACCCTGGGCCCGGCCCCAGGGCTCCCAGGCCATGCAGGAGCAGGAGAGACACAGCCCCCAAATCCTATGCAATAAAGTGCCTCTTAGGACTGTCCCCCCCGCGCTGCTGTCTTTGACTCGTTCACTCCTGAGCCTGGCCAGGGCACCCCCATGTAGCCACCCCACGGAAGTGGACTCTGCAAGCGATGGGCGATGGCTCTCCAGGGTCCTGGGGACAGAGCAGCACGGAAGAGATAAGGATCTCCAAAGGTTTTTGTTTATTTTTTTGCTTTTTGGGTCACACTTGGCGAGGCTCAGGAGTTACTCCTGGCCATACTCAGGGACCATTGGGATGCTGGGGATCGAATCCCGGCTGGCAGCATACAGGACAACCACGCCGCTGTCCTATGGCTCCAGCCCTCAGTGGGCCTTCTTGCTGTGCGGGGTGCCCCGGACAGGCGGCTGGGGGCCCAGCCAGAGCTGCAGCAGGATGACGGCGTGGCATGCGTGCAGCGCGGCCGAGCTGTAGGACGTGGACGGGTACGTATTCCAGGAGAGCTCGATGAGCCCCAGCACCAGCAACCTGGAGACGAGACAGGCAGCCCCGCTCTTGTCTGGCCCACCAGCAGGGCCCCAGAGCCCGGCCCACTCCCTGGGGGGCCCAGCCGGTACCTGAGCAGGTGTGTGAGCCAGCGGGCTGGCGTGGCCCACAGGAGGTAGGGCAGTGTGTGGAAATACCAGACGTAGAACTGGTAATGGAGCGAGCGGCTGAAGCAGATTCCAATGAAGTTAGAGGTGAAGAGGGTGGAAACGATCTGTAGGCGGCGGTCAAGGACTAGGCGGGGGCGGTAGGGGCACAAGTGGACAGGCCACAGTTCCAAAGCACGGGCGGAGGTCGGCGGGGAAAGACAGCCCCCTGGCCCGGCCATTCCTAGATAGACCTCCGGCCTCCAAACCTCTTTGGCTCTGTTCCTCACGCTAACTCAGAAGGCCCCAAGGCCTCGTGAGTTTGAACCCCTTCCTTCCCGAGTAGCTTCAGGAAGTCAACCTCTTCCACCCCTAATTTTGCCTTCTACATGAGGAGGAAAACAAAACAAAAAACGCCCCTCTCTTGGCACCCCTTCTGAGCGCTCTCTCTCTCTCTTTCTTGGCCTCACCCAGCAGGGCACAGGGCTTACTCCTGGCTCTGTGCTCAGGGATCACTCCTGGTGGGGTGCAGGGTGGCCTGATGTGCTGGGGATCAAATGCAGTGCGAGGCAAGTGCCCGACTGGCCCTCTTATGAGTGTCCAATATCGGCTCTGTGTGTGAATATCTCAGAACAGAGGCGGAGGCTGAGCACGCTGATTACTTGGTAAGACGGAGAATCAGGGAGCACAGAGGGTCAGTGCTCGCACGTGTCTGCTGTAGGCCGCAGAGCGGGGTCTTGGTGCATGTGCCTGTGTGAGGACCTGGGTCCCTGGCCGTTCCCCTCCCCCAATCTCCCTGCCACCTAGGAGCCCGTCTGCTCGTGGACAAGGCAAGACTCACCTGTCCTTGATTTAAAGGATATGATTGGGCTTGAGGGGTTGGGGTGGAACCTTCCTCTTGGCGGGGTCCTTCAGCAGTGATAGGATACTCTCCCCCGTCCTGCGGAGAAGCCCACGGACATTTATCCAGGCCCCCTCCCGCCCCACCCATCCCTGCCTGCCCCACACCCCGGCCCTCCCCTTTCTCACCGGTGCCACCTGTAGAGGGCGAAGAGCAAGAGCAGGGTGAGGTGGGCGCCCAGGAGCCCCAGGTGGAAGGCGCGGTGCAGGAAAAAGGCCTCGGGCAGGAAGCGCCAGTTCACGGTCCAGCGGAAGAGAAACTGGCGGCCCAGGTCAAAGGAACGGGACAGGTAGCCGACCGGGTTCTCCAGCAGGAAGGGCAGCCCCAGGACCACCTGAGGACAGGGGTGAAGTTAGGGAGCGTCCCGCGCTTACCCGCAGTCTGTGCTAGAAACGGAGGGGAGCGGGAAGAGGTCGTGGGTTCCCTGATCCTGCCACCAGGTAAGCCAGCCCTGTGCCACCTGCCCCAAGCCAGGCCAAGATGCAGAGGAGGCAGCATCTCACTGTACTTTCAGTTTGGATTCATTGAGCTCCTTTGGGCAGAACGAGGAAGGCCGTTTGGAGACCGGCTGGTTCCACAACTTCCTTTACAGCTCAAAAGACTGAATGCCCAGCCCAGAAGTGACCCCTAAATGGTTTCAGCTGGCTTTTTTTTTTTTTTTTTTTTGCTTTTTGGGTCACACCCGCCAATGCACAGGGGTTCCTCCTGGCTCATGCACTCAGGAATTACTCCTGGCGGTGCTTGGGGGATCATATGGGATGCTGGGAATCGAACCTGGGTTGGCCGCGTGCAAGGCAAACGCCCTACCCGCTGTGCTATTGCTCCAGCCCCTCAGCTGGCTTTGAGAGAGCCCAAGGGAAAGGGGACTGGACAGAGAGCACAGTGGGTAGGGCACTTGCCTTGCGTGTGGCCAACCTGGTTCAATTCCTGGAATCCCATGTGTTTCCCCAAACACTGCCGGGAGTGAATTCTGAGCACTGAGCCAGGAGTACACCTGCGCACTGCAGGCTGTGGCCTCAAAACAAACACTAACCAACCCAGGGCGGAGAGATGAGGTACCTGTAGGACAGCACAGATGGCCAGCTTGGGGAGGGCCCCACGGAGGCCAAACTGCACGAGAAGGAGGAAGAGTAACCCGGGGGCGAAGAGGAGGATGTTCATCTTCACGGAGACCGCCAGGCTGCGGTGAGGACAGAGGAGGGACACAGGTCAGCCCCAGGGCCCAGCCAGCAGCCCCGCCCCAAGGCAACTCCACCCCCGAGGCTCCTGGGGAGAGGGTAAGGCAGCTGGAAGGGGGCGAGGGGAGAGGGCAGACACCTCTTCCCGACACCCAGACCCAGGGAGCAACTTCCCCGACTGCTGGGGACTTGCAGCTCGCTGGCAGGAACGGATGGACGGACGGCTGCAGGGGCCAGGCTGAGAAGCGCGACAGAGACTTCCTGCAGCTCCCACCCCAGGGGGCCCCTCCCTGCCTCCCTCCTTCTGTAGGCAGAGGCGTGCAAAGAACACGATGGAAGGAACAGCGGGCACTGGGCCCGCGGGGGTGACCTGAAGCAGCCGCAGCCCCAGCTCCAGCGCTGGGCCAGCAGGAGGTTGATGCTGAGGAAGAGCAGCGCCATGGCCACGGGGTCGTTGAAGAGCCGCAGCACAAAGATGGAGTGGACGCGGTAGGAGGCACAGCACATGAAGAAGAAGACGAAGGGAGGCACCTGCGAGGCGGGCACAGTGGGAGGGTGGGCGCGCGCCCCCCTCCCCCCCAGCCCACTCCAGGTCAAGCACTCCAGGCGGAGCACTCCAGGCCGGGGCTGTGGTCCGGCAGCAAGCACTCACCTTGCATGTCTGGTGGTAGATCAGAAAGACCAGCAGCAAGGTGGCCAGGTAGAGGACAGCAAAGATGTGCTGGGCCATGCGGATGTCAGTGCCCTGGCCAGTGGCGTAATAGAGCCCCATGAAGATGTACACAAAGCCAGCAGGGTACCTGAAGGAGGTGAGGGAAGGTGGACCTGCGTCAGGCTGCCCGGCCTGGCCCCCCGCCCCCCTGGGCCAGCAGGCCATCAGCCCCACAGGCCCCTGCCAAACCTTCTACCCCCACTCACACGAGAGGCCCAGTGTCGCCCTGCAGTTGGGTGTAGTCATAGGTGCCATTGATGACGCCTTCCACCTCGGCCATATAGGCCTTCCAGTCAATCTCTGTATCTGTGAAGGGACCAGACGGGGGTGGTGTCGGGACTTCCGAGTTCAAAACCCTTCTGCCCCCACCACACCTCCAGTTCCTCCAAGCCGAGAGTTCTGGTACACTCCTATTAGGACTTGTCTCACCGCTCCTTACTCTGCTGACCCTTGGCCATTCTTTGGGGTGAAGGGAGGGGTATTCAACCCCTCAAACTCCACGTCTGCGGCTGATTCTTACGTGATCTCCCATTCCAAATCTGTTCGTCTTCCTGGCTCTGTGAAGGGTGTTGTAAGCCCCAGCTACACTGGTCACAAATCTGACAACATCTTTGTTATTTGGGCCACACTTGACATTGGTCAGGGATCACTCCTAGTGGTGCTCAGGGGATTGAAGGAGGGTAGACTGAGTGCAAGGCAAGAACGTTAACCTCTATACTATCTTTGTCATTTCTAGTAAATCTTGAGTACTTCCATTTTCTACTGCCCCAGATAGCAAATCGTGTTTGTTTCATCTAAAATATCTTAATCGTGCCTTCCTTCTCTGATAGTGTACTTGTATACCCATATACAAGTACGGGTATACTAATTAAAGTATATGCCCCATGCTTGAATTTGGGTTGTTTTTTTCTTTTTTGGCTTTGGAACCACTCCCAGTAGTTAACAGGGCTTAGTCCTGGCTCTGTACTCAGGGGTCACTCCTGGTGGGCTCAGGGGACCATATAGGGTATCAGAGATCAAGTCCAGGTCAGCTGTGAGGAAGAGAGTGCTCTACCTGCTGTACTATTACTCCAGCCTCTTAAATTTGGGTTTAATATTCTCTCTGTCACTGTCACTGTCCTCCGTTGTTGATCAATTTGCTCGAGAAGTCCCAGTAACGTCTCCATTGTGACACTTGTTACTGTATTTGGCATATCAAATACGTCATGGGTAGCTTGCCCGGCTTTGCCGTGTGGGTGAGATATTCTCAGTAGCTTGCTGGGCTCTCCAAGAGGGGCAAAAGAATTGAACCTGGGTCGGCTGGGTTGGCCACGTGCAAGGCCAATGCCCTACCTGCTGTGCTATCGCTCCAGCCCAATATTCTCTCTAGACTCAAGTAATTTACAAACTAATTTACAAATTAGTTTACAAAGTAGGTTCCCAGTTTCCATACTCTACCCACAGCCATGTTTTTCATCCTGCAACCAGGGAGTTCGTCCAAAACAAATAAAAACCAGTGAGTTAGGAAAGACAGGACTGAGAATGGAACCGATGGGTTCTAAATCCTAACTAACCACCATGCTTTTTTTTACAAGGCCTAGAGACCCCCTCATGATCTGGTCTCAGTCTCTGTCTTCTCACTTCATTTCTATGTTCTAGCTTTGAAAGGGTTTCTTCAGTTTCTCAAGGGACCAGGCTTTCTCTGGCGTAAGTGCCACATTCCTATACCCTATATAGCACGATGTCTTACTACTAACACCATGAACACCATCCACTTTTTTTTTCTGCTAACTTTTCTTGGTCCAAGCCCACACACCTAATTAGAATATACTTATTTTCTCCTCTACTTCACTCCTAGCACCCAGTACATGAGACATAAGCATGCAATGTATATATATATACACACTCGGGCTGAATTAACTACCTTTAGCAAGAAAGTGTGGTATCTACACTCAGCCTGGAAAGGAACCATGAATAATACCAAAGGACTCAAGTGATGACCAAATGCCCTTGCTTTCTTTTTGTTGTGTTGTTTGTTTGCCTGGATTTTCAGGGAAGGGTCACACCCAGTGGTGTTGAGCAATCACTCCTAAAGGGGGTCCAGAGACTACACCGTGCTGGGGGATAGAACCCTGGTCTGCTTCATGCAAGACAAGCGCCTTCCCTGCTGTACTATCTCCAAAATGCCCCCAAATGGCATTGCCAAGTAGCGACTCTCTAGAGATCTCAGAATTAACCAGATGAAAAAACTGGGACCCTGCCAGGAGGGGACGTGTCAAAAGCCACCGAGAAAGGCAGCTCCTGCAAAACGGCACACTAAGTCCCATGCAGGTCTTCTGCCATTCCGGGATGCTTCGCTTTCTGAGCTCAACAGGTTGTAGATTCGGGAAGAGACGGATGTCCCTCTCTGGGGCCTAGGAGGAGTTAAGAGCTGGTTTGGTGGCGGGGGCTGGAGCGAGAGCATAGCAGTTAGGGTGTGTGCCTTGCACGCGGCCGACCCAAATTCAATCTCCGGCATCCCATCTGGTCCCTTCAGCACCGCCAGGAGTATTTCCTGAGTGCATGAGCCAGGAGTAACCCTGAGCATTGCCAGGTGTGACCCAAAAGCAAAAGAAGGAAAAGAAAAAAGAAAGAAATGGGCGAATGCTGTAAGTCTGAGATGTTTTTTCCCCCCTTCTTTACATGCTGGGGATGGAATGCAAGCTTCACACAGGCCAGGATGAGCTGGACCACTGAATCACACCCCCAAACACCCAGGCCATTTGTGTTTTCTTTCGTCTTGCGGGTAGGGCGTTCGCCTTACAAGCGGCCAACCTGGCCAACCGGAGTTCGATTCCTCCGCCCCTCTCGGAGAGCCCAGCAAGCTACCGAGAGTATTCGATATGCCAGACACAGTAACAACAAAGTCTCCAATGGAGACGTTACTGGGCCCGCTCGAGCAAATCGACGATCAACGGGAGGGCCTTTACCTTACCTTTACCAAAGTCCCCTCGAGGGCAGGAGCAATAGTACGGCGTAGGTAGGACACTTGCTTTGCAAGCGGCTGACCTGGGTTCAATAATTACATCCCTAGGGGTTGGAGTGATAGCAGAGCGGGTAGGGTGTGTGCCTTGCACGCGGCAGACCCGGGTTCGATTCCCAGCATCCCATCTGGTCCCCCGAGCACCGCCAGGAGTAATTCCTGATGCAAAGCCAGGAGGAACCCGAGCATCGCTGGGTGTGACCCGGAAAAAAAAAGAAAAAACCTGGTTTCGTTTTCTGCAGAGCAGATGCCAGTAAATGACTACAATCTGCAACTAACTGATGGCTCGCTGGGCCCGCGCCCCCCGAATCTCGGTGCCCGTTCAGGCGGCGGGGGGCGACGAGCTCCCCTCCCTCCGCCCTCCGCCCGCCCCCCGCACCCCTTGCCCCACGGCGCACTCACATGCCACCCTGTGAATGACCCAGAAGGTGATGCCCACCTCCGCCAGGCAGAGGCAGGCGGCCACCAGCAGCGTGTAGCGCGGCTCCAGCAGCAGGCGGCGCCGCTCCTGCCAGGCGCGGCGCAGCCACTGTCCGCAGCGCCCGGCCGCGCGGGACGCGGGCCCCGCGCGGGTGCGTTTCCGCACGCCCGCCGCCATCTTGACGGTGCGCCGCGCGGGAGGGGCCGCCTGCCCGGAAGCGCGGCCCCACAGCACTTGGGTTCCGCCCCAGCCGCGGGCGGCCAGCCCGCCGAGCCCCCGCTGCGTTTCGCGCCTCCGCGTGTGCCCCCACACGAACGGCACTAGCGGTCCGCCTGGGGACACGCTCAGCCCAGGCTGGACACGCAGTGCTCCTGTCGGTGCACGTTTACCCGGCCAAGCAGCCTCCCCCTTCCTGCTCCCCTCCCCGATTTCTGCATAGTATTCCTCGGGTGCCGAGATGATGCGTTCAGGTCAGTGTCTCCTGGAGAGCAGACCTGTCCGAGCCCCTCCCGCCTCCCCATCGGCCTGACCGGGTTAGTTTAAACCAGAGAATTAGAGAATCATTCATCTTCAGACTTCTAATGGAAAAAAAAATCAAAAAAATACGAGAGGGGCCGCGATGGACCCGAATGAGTTCGACCCCGAGACCGTGGCGTTCAGAAAGAAACAAGGCCGACAAGCGTAGGGTTCACGGGCAGGACCGCAGGGTCTTCCCACCCGGAAGCTTCTTCCGAGAGCGCCGAGGGGGGACGGAAGTTCCACGTGTTCGTGTTGAGCAACTGCAGGCGGTGGGCGGAGCCAGGGAGGCCGCGTCTCCCGCTTCCGATTGGCTGGGACCGCTAAGCCCCGCCCACAGGTGCTGACCCGCCTCCTGCGCGCTCCGCCGCTGCGAGCATGTCCTCTCCCCGGGGTCTCGCGCCCTCGCCGGAGTTGCCAGAGCAGAACCGCGGGTACCGCGAGGTTCAGTACTGGGACAGGCGCTACCAGGGCGCGGCAGACGCCGCCCCCTACGAGTGGTTCGGAGACTTTTCTTCCTTCCGTGCCCTCCTCGAGCCGGAGCTGCGGCCCAAGGACCGTATCCTCGTGCTAGGTGGGTAGTTCCGGAGCTGCCCGGTCCAGGTGGAGCCGGGTCCGCTGTCCTTCCAGGCTGTCAGTATCTCTCCCAGGACTCTCCTGCAGGGAGCCGGGATCCCTACTTTCCCAATCTCGGTAGATGCTGAGGCAGGGTAGACGGGAGGCCAGGGAGGGTTAGTCTGGTGCCCCCGCCCCCCACCCCTGGAGGGACAGCCTCTGAGTCTGTCCGAAAGTGGGGGGTGACGGCAACACCCCTTTCCCGATCTGCGGGAGGCAGCCTCCAGCCCGGGGGAGCCCAGTGCGCCCGGTTCAGCGAACGATTGCTGTAAGACTTAAAGACGAGACGCGAGCCCGTCCAGAGCTTCAGATGCGCTCCTGGGAACAGGACTGCGAGCTCAAGTGACATCCTTAAGGTATCTGCAGACACCTGGAGCACAATTGCTGGCGCTTTTTTTTTTTTTTTTGCTTTGCGCCGATGGGTTTCAGGAGCGAGTGTCAGAGCAAATGATGTCATTGCGCTCTCAGCCCTAAGTGAAACGGGTGTCCCACGCGGGACGATGCGGGACAGCGCCCTCTAATGTCAGAGCGGTAGACTGCAGCCGAGGTTGAGGAGGGGCTCTGCAAATGAGTCAGTGCTGGGGAGCTGGGTGCAAAGTCTGTGCAGCTGAGCCGCCCTCTGGGGGTTCTCGCCCTCTGTCAGCCTGGATGGCTCAGTGCTCAGTTTGGAACTGAGCAACAGATTCCTTCCAGACAGAATTTGAATGTGGTATTTGTAAAAACATACATATGCTTAAGTAAAATATTTCCTATGCATAAGACATCTGTCAGACAGTGCATATATGAGGTAAAATTAATAACTGCATTAATAAGGCTAATGTATATGTATAACCTGCTCGGTTTGAAAAATTAGAAATATTTTTATCCTTGTCTTCTTTTAATCTTAGGTTTTTAGTGTATAAGTGCCAACAGGCAAAAATCAGGGGAATAATTCCAGCACCCTGATAAACTCTTTAGATTCTTTGGAGCAAAACAGGCTCTCAGTATAGAAATTTTTCTGAGTTGCCTGCACTCCTTGTTTCTCTCCTGTATTTTCTCACTCAGTCTGGGCTGCCATCAGCAGATGGAAAACACTAGGACACTTTTTTCTTGCATCTGTGGCAGAATCCTTAGCAGTACGCAGGCAACTGTTGCTGAGACACAGAACATTTTTGTTTGTTTGTTTTTATTCTGGGGCCACACCTGGCAGTGCGTTGGGTCTCCTCTTAGCTCTTGCTCTGTGGTGCTTGGGAGACCATATGCAGTAACAGGGATCAAACCCAGTTCTCCTGCATATCAAGCATGCACTCAGACCATTGAGCTCTCTCTTGTTGAGCTCTGCACCCTTGAACATTTTTAAAGTCTTAGAACTAGTGAACTGGAGAGACAGATTGCAGGGAGGATGCTTGTCTTGCATGCGGATGACCAGGGTTGGTCCCTGGCACCCCGTATGATCCCCTGAACGATGCCGGGAGTGATTTCTGAGTGCAGAGCCAGGAGGAACTGTGAACATCGCCAGGTTTGGCCCCTCGGAAGGAAAACATTTAAGATTAAGACTTAAATTAGAATTTAAGAAGTAAGACTCTGGAGTCAGTTTAATTACGTTGAAGTATTGGTTAGTGTAATCTTGGTTGTGAAATCATGGACAAATTCATGGAATCTTAGTTATGGTATCCTGGATAAAATGTATTTCAGAGCCTCCACTTTTCTGTCTTAAAATACTTATTTTTGAGCTTTTAAGATGACAGCATGAAAGATACCTATAGCAATGCCTAACAAAATGAAAAGCGCTATGTAGGGCTAGAGAGACACCACAGGGGGTGAGGTGTTTGCCTTGCATGTGGCCAATCCTGGTTTGATCTCTGGCATGCAGTTTCCCAAGTGCTGCTGGATATGACTCCATCCACCGCCACCCCACCCCTCAATAGCCCCATATACAGTCAAAATTTTCCATTTGCTCCCCCAAGGTTAAACAAAAAATATGTTAGACTTTATCCTTTTAAGCCATTGCGTTTATGTTTATATTTATCATAGATATATGCATTGGGTGTAACGGGGTACACCTGGTGGCTCTGAAGACCATGTGGTACTCAAGATTGAACCCAGGGCTCTTTAACATGAAGCATGCAGTCTAGCCCTGGGAGCCATCTCCTAACCCCTCCTAAATGTACCTTTGCAAGTTTTAGTGCGCATCAAAATCATCAGGAAGGAAAGCTGGAGCCCATCCTTAAGCCAGGGGTGGTTCTGATTTCAGGGATGGTCTAAGTTAGTCCCAGGAGTTGCGTTTTCAGCAAGCTCATCACTGGTGTTCATGATGCTGCCAAGCAAAGGAACACTGCCTTCCAATCAGCTTGAGGGGCTGGAGTGATAGTACAGACGGTGAGCCGACCAGCCTTGCATGGGACTGACCTAGATTCAACTCCCAGACCTCAAGTAGTCCTCCAAGAGCCCCACCAGGAGTGATCCCTGAGATCAGAGCCAGGAATAAGCCCTGAGCACTGCTACATGTGGCTCCCTACTGCCATAAAAAAAAAAAAATCTGCTTGGGAGTTAGTCTTATCTGGGTAGAGGAAAGGAAAATCTGAAAATCAAAAAGGAAGGGCTGGAGAACTAGTACGGGGGTAAGGTGCTTGCCCTGCATGTGGCCGACCACTGCACCAGCCAGGCACAGCCGGGAGTGGTCCCTAAAGTGTAGGCAGATGTGGCCCCCAAGCCCAAAAGTAAAAATAGAAAAGGAAAATCTTCCAGCTAGGATTACTGAGCTCCAAGAACAGAATCTACAATTTGGGGAGTACCCTCTATTTCATTCATCTCAACAGACACATTGGAACACCTTACAGATGCTTGGGACTGTTCTGGGCCTTTTCTTTCTTCCTTTCTTTTTCTTTTGCCTTTTTGGGCCACACCCAGAGGTGCTCAGGGCTTACCTTTGGCTCTCAGGAATTACTCGTGATGGTGCTCAGGGGACCATTTGGGAAGTGAGGATTTGAACCCGGATTGGCTACATGCAAGGCAAATGCCCTACCCGCTGTACTATCACTCTGGGCCCTGTGCTGGGCCTTTTCTAAGTTATTTAATCCTGGGACAATCCTCAGAGGTGTCACTATCACTGTCCTCCCCTTATTCATCAATTTGCTCAAGTGGGCCTGTAACCTCTCCATTTTGAGACTTGTTGTTACTGTGTTTGCCTCATGCTAGGCAAACACCCTACCCACTGTGCTATAGCTCCAGCCCTGATAAGTATACTTGAGTCTCCTTGAGGAGTCAGTGAGCCTTTTCTGAAAAAGACTCAGATAGTAACTGTTTCAAGTTTTGAGAACTCTGCTCTTTCTATCACTGCTACTTAGTTCTGTTAATACCAGAAAGCAGCCTCTGACCATAATCACAAGTCGGTGAAAACAGCTATGTTCCAATACAACAGAACTAGTCAGCGACATAGATTTTGTGACCCCTAGTCAGGGTCATTGTTCCAGATTGGGTTCCCCAAAAGCTCATCCGGAGATGGAAATTCCTGTCTCTGTCATTGAGTGATTCTGTTTTGGAGGCCACACTGGGCAGTGCTGAGGGTTGGGGAGCTACCTCACACTCAGAGGTCCACGTCATGTCAGGGACTGTACCCAGATCCTTGGCTCTGAGCTCTCACCCCGCCTCTGTTTCCCCATACGTTAGGGAAGTGCTCCCAGGGGAAACTGACAGAGAATGGGGACAGGGGCACTGCCAGCACAGGCCAAGATTCCCTGCAGGTAGTCTCTGCCTTGAGTCACCAAAGCAGACCCCGGGGCCACCGCAGTGGACCATGTCAGTCCTGGCTGCCCACTGCTGTCCAGCAGTGGGAGGCAAGTCTGGCCACCTGCCACATCTGCAGCTTCTGTTTCTGCAGCTGCATCGTGAAGAGGGGCATGCCCCGCACCAAGAACTCTGCCAGCTGGTGGAAGTGCGGGGCAGATGCGGCCTGGTGTCACGTCGTGAGCACCAAAGATGGACTGTGCCTCTTGAGAACGGGGAGAGAGGTCAGCCTGGTGACCAAGGGGCAACGGCTCTGGCGGGACACATCCAGGTCCTGGCTGCACCCCAGACCTGGCCAGGTGACTTTGGGAAGCTCCTTCTCTGCTCCAAGCTGACCCATCTTCCTCTCACACAATGCATGACAACACCAGGATCTTCCATCTAGGGCCACCACGATGATAAGCTGGGATATCTGATAAAGTTCTTAGCTTGGGATGGGTGTTCAGGGTAGGTTAGCTGAAACCATTATAATTGTTCAGTTTTGTTTGGGTGCCACACTGGCAGTGCTCAAGGCTTACTTCTTTTTTTTTTTTATTTTTTGCTTTTTGGGTCACAGCCAGCAGTGCTCAAGGGTTACTCCTGGCAGTGCTTGGGGGACCATATGGGATGCTGGGGATCGAATCTGAGTCGGCTGCATGCAAGGCAAACGCCCTACCCGCTGTGCTATCACTCCAGCAAGGGCTTACTTCCTGGCTCAGGAATCACTTTCTGGCAAGACTTGGGACCATACGGAGTGCCAGGGATAGAACCCAAAACCCCAGGGGCTTGCGGCTGTGTGCAAGGCTGTTTTCTCTCTTCAGCCCCCTGCACGACTGTAATTGAAAATAGAAGTCGGAGAGACACTTGCCCCAGAGCTGGTCAGAGGACGGAGTGAGTGCCTGGCCTGGGGCCCAGTGTCTGGTGGCCAAGTATCCCATCACTCACCTGGCTGTGCTGTGGTACTTACCGGATGCCATGGGCCGCAAGGATCTTCTCAGCCTCCTCAGGCCTCCCAATCCGTGCCCATATAGAGGGGAGCACTGGGCTACACCTCTGACCACTCAGTCCCACGATGGTGCCTTTCTCTGTCATGCTGCCTGGGGGCTCCCACCTCAGTCTTATGCTATTGGGACAGCGCCTGCCTCACTCTGCTTTCCCAAGGGTGGCCTAGGGTTCTTGACTGAGACCCGCTGGTCCAGGGCTCTGCTACAGAACGCCCCCAAGCCACCCTCTCAGTGGTTAGCGCCCAACCGTGGAGGCGGTCAGCTTAGAAACTGTGGTCTTATAAGCTCAGCGGGGTGGGGGGGGGAGGCCCGGGTTTGCTCACCCGTCATCCTTGGTAAAGCTCTCTTTATACACGAAGGAGAACCAAGGAGGGAAATTGGATTTGACCCCCAAGAGCCCAACATTTAAGGTGTAGGGGTGAAGGGCCAGGGAGCCCCTGGGGTTTTGGCGCCTGAGGCAGGGACACCAGGTCAGCCACTGTTGCCTCCTGCTCCCTGCTGTGGGTCCCCAGGAGCTTGTCATGGCTCCGGGCCGGGGTAGCACACGCTGGATATTTCCAGAGAGGGAGCTCAGGAAGGAACTGAGGACCAGCCTGCAGCCCCCGCATGTCCCCTGCGAGTGCCAAGCTCTGCTAGATCAGGGCTACCCCGACAACTGATCTGCTGATCCCCTTAAGAGAGGGAAATGGGGATTAAAGGCCACCTAATCCCCAAAGCATGGGCCCCTCACGCCCGTGGATCCATCATGAGCTGTCACGTGTCCCAGGCCCAGACTGAAACTGAGCACAGAATGTCTGCCAGGGGCCAGATCTTCAAAGGGTATGTGAGTCACTTCTCCAGCCCTCCGCCCCTCGCCCACCCTGCAGCGCCCAGCCCTGGTCTCTTTGGCACGGAGCCCCAGGCATTCCCTATCAGGCGCTTGTGATTCTTCAAGGCTCTGCTCATCGGCTTCCCCAGGACCCCCAGGCAAACTCCCCAAGGGAAAGTGAGGACCCATCCTCTGCGCTCCCACCAGCTGCATTATGGAGCAGTTGCCTGGTGAAACCTCTGTCCCTTTCACGGGGGCATCCAAGGGTGAGGACTCGGGTTCAGCAGCTGCACCCAGCAGGGCCACGCTCAGTAGGGACATGAAGGCATTCCCAGGGATCCACTCCATTCTGCCCTTAGTTTCTTTCTCCCTGACGCTCTCAGTGGGCCTTAGGAACGGACCCAAGGCGGGGGGCAGCCCTGGTGCGGGTCTCCCGGTGCTCATCACATCCCAGGCTGGCTGAGCGCTTCCCTTCACTGCTCCCCTCCTCAGGCCAGTACGGTCCTCATGGTGGCCACCTGATCCCCTTTCCCGGTCTAAGGAGGCTGGCGACGCTCAGAGACGCATGCTTTGCCTTAGCCGGGTGCCGGGTTAGCAGAGCCTGTGCCTCTGAATTAGACTCGGGGCACCCTCAGTTCTCTGCCATGTGGCTTCTGCTTGCACACGCCCCATGTCACATCCTGCGTGGAGGCCGGGGTGCGGTCATCCTCGTTCTTCTACACCGGGAAGCACGGTTTTGGGGAAAGCACCACGAGACCAGCGGAGCTGGGCTCTGTGCCCAGGCCCGTACGGGCCGGAGTTGGTGGTGCCCCACTGCTCCTCTTGGCGCGGGAGGGTGGGGATGGTGGAAACGTCGACCAGGAAGGGGAGAGGGATTGAATAACTGGGGTGGTGGGACTCTCGGCTAAGCTGGCCCTTTTGCTGCCACCCCAGGCTGTGGGAACAGTGCCCTGAGCTACGAGCTGTTCCTTGGGGGCTTCCCTGATGTGACCAGTGTGGACTACTCCTCCGTGGTGGTGGACGCCATGCGTGCCCGCTATGCCCACGTGCCCAGTCTGCGCTGGGAGACCATGGATGTGCGCGCCCTGGATTTCCCCTCCAGCTCCTTCGACGTGGTGCTCGAGAAGGGCACGCTGGACGCCCTGCTGGCCGGAGAACAGGACCCCTGGGCCGTGTCCTCGGAAGGAGCCCACACCGTGGATCTGGTGCTGAGCGAGGTGAGGGAGCCCACGAGAGAAGTGGGACCCAGAGGTAGCGAGAGGCGGGGAGCGGAGGAGGCAGAGAGGGCTGCCCTCGGGACAGGGTCCCTGTGGGACAGGAAGCCAGGGTAGATGACAGAGAGGACTGGAGTGACGATGGGACACTAGGTTGACATACCAGCAAGGCAGCACACGGGTACCACTGTGTCTGCCACCCCCCAGCTGTGCCCATGCAGTGACCAAGGGCAGCAGAGCCGGGACGTAGGGGAGTCCCTGCCGTTTCACTGGTGGGGCAGCCACAGCAATACTGACCTTTGAGAGCCCCAGGATAGATGCCTCACTGGGGCTTCTTTGTCTGCCTTGCAGGTGAGCCGGGTGCTGGTCCCTGAGGGCCTGTTTGTCTCGCTGACCTCTGCCGCACCTCACTTTCGGAGCAAACACTATGCCCAAGCCCGCTACGGCTGGTCCCTGAGACACACAACCTACGGTGACGGTTTCCACTTCCACCTCTACCTCATGCGCAAGGGCGGAGAGCTCAGCGGGGCCCAGCTGGCGCTGGGGGCCCAGCTACTCTCACCCCCCAGGCCCCCCGCCTCGCCGGGCCTTCTCCAGGACTCAGACCATGAGGACTTCCTCGGTGCCATCCAGCTGTGAGGCAGAATATCGGTCCTCCAGAACCCACCCTGCCCTGAGCACCTGACTCACCTTACTCTAAGTCCTGACTCAGAGCGGCCAGTTGGATCCAAGGTGCTCACACCCCGGGGGGTTGGGGGGGCGTCCATGCAGAGCTGGAACGGGCAACTGCACCTCAAAACACTGCAGCCTAGGCTCTGATCTGTCTCTGATGCCAGCTTCCTCCCCACTCCCCCCCATGAGGACTGCCGGGGAGCAGCTGGTGGTAGGGAAAGGCTCTGCAAGCCCGGCAGGCTTGGAGGTGAGGGGGAAGAGAAAGGACCCTGCACCCCCCCTCGGCCGTCCCATCCCCGACCCACTACCAGCCTGGAGTTTCCCCACCGGAGGTCTAGAAAATCTGCACTGATGACAGCTTCAGACCCCAGCACAGCCCACTGATCTCCTCTGCATACATTGTTGTACGTTTCCCAGAGGAGGCCCCTGGCAGTGAGCTTCCCGGGGCCAGGCCAGCCTTACCACACTGTCCAGGGAGCTTGTCCCTGGCAGCAGCGGGCACCTGAGATTCCCAAACACCTGCCTTGCCCTTCCCCCAAGGAACTGGAGCCATTTTGGCCTGGCTGCCGAGCGGAGTGACGCAGTGGCCACACACATCACACACACGCACACACACAGAGGGAGGTCTGTGTTTATTCACACACTCCTGGTACAGTGAGGATGGAGGAACATTTACAAAGGACACCCCTGGGTTGAGAACATCTCCAGGGCCACAGGTGTCGACTGAGGTGCTGGAACGGTCCCCGTTTGGGTTTCCGGGGGGGCAAAATATAGGGGTCCCAGGTAAAATCAGACCGGGACCCTTTTGGAAGGTGGGATCTCTGGAGGGGAAGCGTCTGCCCTAAAGCCGACTGGGGTCGGGCTTGGGCAGACTGGCCGTGTAGGTTGGTTACCGTGTTGGGGGTTTGTCCCATCCCAGACTCAAGGCCCAACCCATCTGCCAGGCGCAGAAGAGGCGGCCGAGGCCATGGGGGAGGGCGCGAACCGTGAAGGGAGCCAGTAAACAAAGAATCGGATATAAAAATACAAATGTGCTGCGGTAGTCCCTTAGAAAGAGGCTGAGGCCGGAGGGGGGGGGGGGTCACGTCAGACAGGGGCAGGGGAGGGGAGGGGCGGCCGAGTGGGGGGGCCGGGCTCGGATGGGTGGGAAGCTCATGCAAATACGCAGCCACACATCCCTGGCCGCCGAGCGCGCGCGCGCGGGCGCTTGGGCCGACACCGCGCCGGGTCCGCAGACCAGAGGGGCGGGGCGGGGGGGGAGGGCCGTGCGGGACGGGGCGGGCCGGGGGCGGAGGGCCGCGGGTCTCCGTGTCCGTTCCGTTGTGCGGGGTGGGGCTGCGGCCCGAGGCGCTAAAGTGCATGAGCGCGGCGGCGGGCTCCGGGCGGGTCCGCGCCGCTGCAGCCGCCGCCGCCGCCGTGGTGCTGAAGCGGACAGCTCCGGAGTGGCCGGCGGCGGCGGCGGCGGTGGCGGCGACTCTCACCCGGAGGCGGCGCGGCCCTGCAGCCCCCGCCCGCGGGCGCCGGGGCCGGGGCGGGGGGCGCCGGCCGCCGCATCGCCGGCCCCGCGCTCCTGGCCGCTGCGGGGCTGGGCCCGGAGCCCGCCGCCCGAGCCGGCGCGTCTACACTCCGGCCGGCGGCTTCTCCCCCATCCCCTTCAGCACGTCGTCTATCCGGTCATCCTCGATCACCACTGCGCGGGGAGAAAGCGCGTCAGGCGCACGGCCTCGGGGGGCGCAGTGAGAACGGTCCCGGCGCCGCGCTCGGCTCCCCGCCCGCGGCGTCCGGTGCCGCGGCTGCCCTCCGGCCCACCCGCGTTCTCCGACACACTCAGCTTCCCACGGGCCCCCTCCCATCCCGCCGGAGGAACGCCCCCTCTCCAGGGCAGCGCTGCCCGCGCGCGCTCCTCCAGCCCCGCAGCGCCGAAACCCCTGGTTCTAGGGACCGCTCTCCCTCGTCCAGCCCTTCCTCGCAGCCTCCGAAGCGGGTGAGACCCGGTCTCTGCCCGCTCGAACCCCACTTCTGAGCCGAGCACCAAACACCCACCTACCTCCAGGCCAACAAACCACCGGGACTGACCGAACCCTGGGGACCCGCTGCCCTCCCGCCTCCAATCGGGGTGTCCCTTCCCGCTCCAAAATCGGGGCGTCCCTCCCCTCTCCAAGGCTCCTCCGCAGCGTCCTCCGACTCCTTCCGATCTTCAAGGGGGCGACCGTCGCCCCGAGCTGCCACTTGCGGGCAGCCCCCAAGCGCCCCGACGGCCCCTCCCCCTCGCCGGGCGCCACTTTGCAGAGGTGGCGAGCATGGAATCCGGGGCACCGCGCTCCCAGGAGTGGGGAAGAGGAGGACACCACACTGCGGCAGGGAACACCCCCCTCCCGCCTCCCGCCCCCCGCCCCCCAAACAAAAAGCCCCGCCGGAGCCGCGGGCGCTCGGCGGGGGCTCCCGGCCCGGGGTTTTCTGGGTCAGCCACAACTCCGGGCCCCGACCGCGTAATACCTCTCTTGGCGCGGCCGATCTGGCCCAGTTTGGGGGGTCGCTTGGCCTGGTTGCCCGCGAAGAAGGAGTTGGTGTCCTGCAGGCGGCAGCTGAAGGAGAGGTCGGAGCCCTCGGAGTCGGCGCCGAAGCGGCCCATCTTGTCCTCGCTGTAGGGCAGGATCTCGGACATGGCGGGCGCGGGGTGGGCGCGGGAGACTGCGGCGGGGCGCGGGCGGCGGGCGAGCTGCCGGACCGGCCCTAGCTCAGCAGGGGAGCCGGCGGAAGGATGAAGTCATGCAGCATCCGGGGCTGCGGAGCCAAGCGGGGCCTCCTCCCCCGCGCCTCCGCCTCCCGGGCCGCTGGGCAGGCGGCGGCGGCGGCGGTGGCGGCGGGGACCGGGCGGGGGCGGGGGGCGGGGGTGGCGGCGGCGGCGAGAGCGGAATGACGATGAGCGCCCCGAGTGCCGCAGCGCGCGGCGGGCGGGGCGCGGGGGAGGCGGGGCGGGCTCCGGCCAGGGGCGGGGGGCGGGGCGCACGGGCGCGCGCGCCCCACTGTCGGGGCGGGCCGGCCCCGGCGCTCCGAGGGTCCCGCGCACCGGGCGGGAGTGGCGGCCGGGCGGGGACGGCGGGAGCGAGCCCGCGGCCGCGGTGGGGGCGAGAGAGTTTGGCCGCCGAGCGAAGCGGCGCGATCAGGAGTGGGGGTGGGGGGCGCCGACCCCAGGTGACCGGGGACGCGGGCCGCGCGGCGAGCTCGGGCCGCGGCGGGGCGGGAGCGCGAGACGGCGCGAAGCCGCAGGACGCGGGAACGGCTCCTCGGGCCGGAGGCGGTGTCCCGGCCTTGGGCGCGCTCCTCGCCTCGCTGATCGCGCTGCACTTCTGATCTGAAAGCGCCCCTCCGGAGTCCGCGTCTGTCCCTGCGCGTCTCAGGGTCAGTCCATCTTTGGGGCTGCCCTCCCGTGGCCCCGTCTCCGTGTCGCTCTGCGCACGGCCCCCGTCTGCGTCTGAGCGCTTTTCCCCCCCGCGTCTCCAGTCCCCGGCCTGACTCTGGGGCCAAGTGCCGCCGCGTCTCCATCCATCTCTTGAGCCTTTGTGCATCTCCGTGTCTCCCGGAGAGCGAAAATCTCCGTAACTGGGTCGTTGCGCGCGCGCCCCAGGGCAGACCCCCCCACTGCTCCCCACCGCAACACACACACGCCCGAGTCGGCTGCTGTCGCCCGAAACTCGGGGTTCGTGGTTCCCGCCGCACCCTGCGGTTCCCCGGAAGCCCGCGCCGCGCCAGCCGAGCGGGAGGGAATGAATGGATGGCGGCGGCGGCGCGGGGGGCGCTCCGGCTGCAGGTGACGCGGGGAAGCCCGGAGCGCCTGAGGACGCCGAGTGTCTGATGGGAAGTGGGGGGGGGGTGGACGAGGGGCGCCCCTCTGCCCTGGTTTCGGGAGTCACGTGTCTGCTCTCGCCCACCCCGACGGGAACACGCCCTCCTCTCGGCGCGGGCTCCCGCGGGCCGCCGGTGGTCAGCGCCCGCGTCACCAGCTCGCTGGCGCGATCGCTGGCCCGGGGGTGTGCGTCTCACACTGGGCGGCGTGACGACAGCACCGACAGCAGTAACGATCGTCGGTCGGTTCCGTGCCTGCCGCTGACGGAGGTGTCCCCGCGGGCGCTCCGACACTGACTTCCCCGCCTCGACAGATCGCAGCCTCGGCGCGGGCTCTCCCTACCATCCCGCCCCACGAGCGCGCGTGGAGCGCAGTGGTGGCTGGCTCTCAGGGCCCAAGGAGCGGGCGTGTGCTCGGTGCATGCCGCCCTCCTCGAGCCCCCCTCCCTCATCTGGGAGTGAGCGTTGGCCAGACTTCATGAGGTCTGTCCTCGTCGCTGGGGAGAAAGCAGTGCTGGCCCAACTCCAAGACCTGCGTGGACAAGACAAACTGGAGCTCGGGGGGGACACCGGGAGAGAGTCCGGGAAATCCCACACACCCACCCACGATGGTCTCTCAAGTGGGTTCCAATTCTGGCGCTGCCACTTTCTGGGTCACCTTCAACTGGAGTTCCTAGCCTTATAGTTTGTTTTCTTTGGGGTCACGCTCGGCTGTGTCCAGGCCCCCTCCTGGCTCTGAGTTCAGCATCACTCCAGGCGGGGCTCTGGAGACCATATGGGATGTCCGGATGGAATATAGTCAGCAGCATGCAAGCCAGGCAAGCACCTTACCTACCCTACGTACCACTCCAGCCACCAGATACAGGTTTCTTTCTTTCTTTGTTTTTAATTTGTACTTGTAACTTTTGAGGAAATATGGAAAGCCACACTATATATTTTTCAAGTCCTTTTCCGTGTGCATTTACATAATATGCATGCTTCTCAGAATAGCGCCCTGGCAGAACCTCAGACAGTTTCACCCATGAAAGCCTTGTCCTGAGCTGAAGGGGTTATGTCAGGGAATGATGAAATGCCTCCCACCAGAAAGTGCAAGAGGGGCCCAGAAAGTTCTTGCCGAGGGTATTTGTAGGAGCAAGTGAAATAATTCTTTCTTCTTCCCACAATTAGAAACATTAGAGGTATAACACTTTAGGGTTCATTTGGGTTACCTCCTTTTTTGTGTGGTACTTAGCCAAGCAGCCTGTGATTCAGGCTAGGGCCTGAGGAGGAAGTGTCAGTCCAGTGCTGGGGACCACCAGGTCTCTCTTGTGTTTGGGGGTGGGGGGAAGTAGGCCATTCCCAGTCAAGCTGCAGAGGTCATGGGGTGTCAGGGATCAAACACAGGTCAGCGATTTCCTCGCTCTTTCTTCCTCACTTCCTTTTTTCCCCTTTCTCCCTCCCTCCCTTCCTTTTCTTTCTTTCTATGCCGTTTTATTAAGTTTCTAAAGCAAAACATTCCCCCAGAAGAACAAAATGATGATGATTAAGTTCTTTACTCAGCTACCATTTAAACAGGAAGGGCTTTTTTTTTCTTTCTGGATTTTTTTTTTTCCCACACTGGCTTACTCCTGACTCTGCTTTCCAGAGATCAATCCTGGTGGGCTCATGGGACCAAACAGGGTACCACAGATCGAAGCCAGGTCAGTCACATGCAAGGCGAGCACCTTACCTGCTGTGCTATCTCTCCAGCCCCCTAAGAAAGGTATTTTCTATTATCATCCTGTCAGAACAGGAAAAACAATTCTTTTTCCGATGGGAATGAATCTGCTGGATCTGTAAAGTGTATGTTTATTGTTTTTGTTTGGGAGGCATGCCTGGCTGTGTACAGGGCTTACTCCTGGCTCTGTGCTCAGGGACCATTCTTGGTAGGGGTCCGGGGACTGTATGTGCTGCTGATGATCAAGCTAGGGTTAGCCACATGCAACGCAAGGGTCTTACCCATCGTATGATCTTTCTGCCCTGAAAGCTTTGAATTTTCTGATTAAAGGTTCCCCAAACTAGAGCTGAAGAGATAGTACAGTGGGTAAGGTGCTTGTTTTGCATGCATCTACCTGGGTTTGATCCTCGACATTCCTGAGTAATTCCAGGAGTAATTTCTGAGAACAGAGCCGGGAGAAACCCCCGAGCACTGCTGTGTGTGGCAAACAATGAAGTTTCCCAAACGATTCTGTGCCTAATAGAATAATAAGCCTTTTGAAAATTGATTACTGAAGGCACTTTTAGGACCAGGGAGATAGGCATTGTGTGTGGACAGACCTGGGTTTTCTGCCAGTTCACCTGATCTGATCACTTGAGTACCTCTGGGAATAACAACTATGCACCAACAGGAAGTAACTACAGAGCACCGCTGGGTGTAGCTGGAAAATAAAATTAAATTAAGACACTTGGATTTCAAATGGAAACAGGCGAATTATGTTAAACCATTTTCTGACTGGCCAGAGAGGTAGCATAGGGCTTAAAGTACTTACATTGGAGCCTACCCCAGTTCAACCCTTGGTACCATGTTTCCATGTGTTTCCCCTAAGTTCTTTCTGGAGCAAGCCCTTAGCACAGAGCCAGGAGTAGCCCCTGAGCACTTCTGGGTGTGGTTCAAGTATCTCTTTTCCCCCAAAAAGAAGAAAACAATTTCAACATTCATATCTAACTGTGACCCCAGAATGTGACCTTATTTGGGGAGGCCAGAGAGATAGTACAGAGAGTAGGATACTTGCCTTGCACAGAGCTGACCTGGGTTCAATCCCTGGCACCACATACGGTCACCTGAGCCTCTTCAAACATGATCTCTGAGCACAGTGCTGGGATTAAGTCCTGAGAACAACTGAGTGTGGTCTCTAAAAACCAAAATGTAAATAATGTGACCTTATTTGGGAGGAAAAAGGTGCTTTCAGATGAAATTAGTTAAATTAAGATGAATTCAGGCCAATCTCTGGTGTCCTTATAGGAATAGGACAGACACAAAGACAGTTACATAGAAAAGCCGAGGACCCCCAGGGATCATTCTTGATGAGCCACAAGAACTAGAAGAGACAAACATTCTTCCCTGCCACGCTCGCAGGGAGAATGTGCTTTTGGACTTCTAACCCTTCAATGTGAGACAATGGATTTACTAACTCATCTACTTTACGATCCTTTTTTATTGCAACTCTAGGAAAAAGACAGAACCTGCTATAGGTACTGCTTTTTGTTCTTTCTTTCACTCCTGGCTGGGCTCTGGGGACTCCATGGGGTGCCAGGGATCAAACCCAGGTTGGCCACATGCAAGACAAACACATGGCTATACTATCTCTCCAGCCCTAGACCTGAGATTTTGTAACTCTTACTCCCCCACTTTACTGTATATGAGAATTATTTCTGTGTAAGGGTAATTCTTTGAGGGGGAGGGGGCACACACAGCAGTGCTCAGGGGTGGCTCCCAGCAGGGTTGGCCGATCATGCAGTGCTGTGGATTGAGGAATCCAACCTGAGCCTGCAGCATGGGAAGTATCTCACACTAGTCCTTCGTTTTCATGGTTTGTAAATGTTGCACTGTCTCCCATCAGACACATATTTGATTCACTCGACAAATCCTCCTTCGCTCCTAGACATTGAAGCCCTTCTCTCATTTTTTCCCTCTTCTTGTCAGTGCAATGACAAGAAAATGTTGCCAGGGAAAAATAGCCTTGATTTTGTTTCGTTTTGGGGCCACACTTAACTGTGCTCAGAGCTTTATCCTGGCTCTGCTAGGATAACTCAGGGATCACTCCTAGTGGGACTTGGGGGACTACATGAGGTGCCAGGGATCCAACACGGCTTGGCAGCGTGCAAGGCAAGTGCCCTACCTGCTGTGCTGTGTTTTAAGCCTCTAACCTTAATGTTTTGGTCTCCTCCAAATCAAGAAGTCGAGTCTGTTTCTCTATCTCTGAATCTGAACTTAATCTCTAGCTTAGCTCAATAGGAACATTAGTAAATGGGTAACAAACAGAGGTTTGAAAAGTATTTATGTAAATGTTAACACTATTGGAATCATATTACCTAAACTAC